GCTTGGCGTACTGTGACCAACAGACGGGCGAGCGTCAACGCTGCGAGTAACTCGAGCCGTGGGATGGTCTGTTTCGCTGTCGGTGCTACTTTGGTCTTCGCCATGGCGAACTGAATGGACACGGTCGCTGCCTCGATCCTCAGGTACACGACGGAGGCAAACGCGGCTTGTGAAGCGTCACAGAACCCGTGTAGCGACACTTTGGCGTCTGCTGTAGCGCCGCTGAAATAGCATCGTGGCATGCGCACTGGTGCTGCTCGCTGAAGTGCACTCATCAGGGATGCCCACTCGCGCTCCTGTTCGGTTGATAGCGGTGAATCCCAGTCCAGACCGGCGACATGTAGCTGCTGCAAGAATATCTTGAGCTTGACCGTGACTGGCGATACTATGCCGAGTGGATCGAACAACCGTGCCGCTTGCGATGAGACAGTACGCTTCGTAGGCCGTTCCTTTGCTGAGTCGAAGACTGACGCGATGTCCACCGTTATGCTGTCAGTCTGGCGGTCCCACGTGACACCCAGAACCTTGTCACAATCATGGGGCTGTACATTCAGTGATGCCTTGGCGTACGTGGAGTCGTCCTCGCACGCTTTCCCGGAGCTAGGGTGAACTGCAGCCGTATCTCCTTCTGTGTGGTTGATGTGCTCTTGCACAGCTGCGGAACTTGACGCAAATTTGCGGATATTGAACCCACCATCAGCCATGCGGACCTTGAGCTTCGTGTACAGCTCCACCGCTTCCTCGTCATCCGCTGCGCCGGCTGCCAGGTCATCGACGTACATGCTGCGGCTGATTTCATCAACGAATTCTGGATCCTCTTGCCGGTACTGCTCGAGATGATGTTTCAGTGTGGCGTTGAGGAGGAATGGACTCGATGTGAGCCCGAACATCACGCGAGCGAACCGGTACACCTGCACTTGCCGCTCGCTCGAGAACGGCCGATCCCACCACAGGAACCGCAGCGCATTCCGGTCGTGCTCGCATACGTTGAGCATGAGAAACGCCTTCTCAATGTCACCAGTCAGGGCAACTGGATAGCACCGAAAGCGGAGGAGGATGTCTGGGATGTGCTCCAGCAAATTCGGCCCGGAGTGGAGGCAGCTGTTGATGGAAGGATTCTTCCCTGCGTGTGCTGAGGCATCGTACACCACCCGCACCTTGGTGGTAGCCTTGTCCTTGCGGACCACTGCTTGGTGGGGAATGTAATGAACTTCACCCACCTCGCCGACTTCGTTTGCTGGTACCTCTTCAATGACGCCAGTTGCCAGCTGCTCTGCCATGACACGGGGATACTCACTGAACACGTCTGGCACCTTCTCGATCTTGTTGGTGAGAGACAATAGCCGCTTGTGGCTCAGTCCAAAATTGTCCGGCAGCACAGCGTGGACTTCTTTCCACGGGAGGCTCACAGTGTAGCGGCCGTCAGCAAACTTGATCGTCTCGTCGAACGCTGCTTGCACTGGGTTCCCATCCAAGGGCTGGATACCGAGAGACTCCAAGTCCCAGAACCGCTTAAGCTGCTGCTCTAGCTGCTCAGCCGTGACCGCGAACACGTGCGTTGCTGCTGAAGCTGGTGCTGATGGCTTGGGACAACCGGACAAAACCCAACCAAGCTTTGTCGCTATGGCAACCAGGGTATCACTGCCACGGATGACGTTGCCCTCTGTGAATTCCCAGTAGTGGTCTGCACCAATCAGGATGTCCACATTGGCCGCGCCAGTGCAATCATCAGCCAGTTGCAATGTCGAGAACGGTGCGAGCGACTCCGCTACCTCGGTCGGAAATTGCCGGCTGATCGGCGCGCTGATCAAGGGAACGGCTACTGCTGCCACTGACACTGGGCTCCCCTCCAGTGTAGCGATGCTTAGTCGCACGACGTCGACTTCCTTTGGCGACCCGTGCTGTGTGCCAAAACCACGTATGGCCAGCTGCTCCGTGTGGTCCGTCGGCAGGTCCAACTGTTGACGCAGGCTGTTTGTTACATATGACCGCTGGCTGCCCAAATCCAGCAAGATGCGGGCTTTGAGCTGACGGTTCGGGTCTTCCTGTGAGGCCACCGCTGCCTTGGCCGTCTGGAGTAGCGGTGCCGATGCCTGCGACATGGCGGAGCACGTTCCGGAGAATGTCTGCTGCCCGTCTGCGCAAATGGTGGTGTGATGCCGTCTATCACATTTGCCACATCGTGTCTTAGACATACACTTGGCTGCTATATGCCCTTTCCTTGTGCACACAAAACAGCGGCGCTGCTGGATCAACAAATCTTTCCGCTTGGCCACACTGGTTACAACGGAACATGACGCGGTAGCGTGGTCCCGCCCACAGTAGATGCACGCCATATTGTGCACTGTCGTGTTTAGTGATGCCGCTGTTGCCATGGCGCCCCGGCTTGGTTCTCTGGTGCCACTTTGGATGCTGGACACATAGGAACAGCGTTCCCTGGTTCTTATTTCTTCCCGCAACTGCCGCAGCACTTCTTGCAACGAGAAGGACGCATCACCTACGCCTTTGCACACATCCAGGCGCACCGCCTTTGGCAGTTTCTGCAGAAGAATTGGGGCGAACATGTCTCCATAATGCTCGGTCTTCCGACCCATGTTCTCCAGCGACCGCACGTGGTTCACTACACTGTCCAGCAATTTGCGGAGGCCCGACAGATCATGCTCATTGCTGATACCTGGCAAGTTCAGCAGGGCATCCATATGCGCACTGATTATACGCTGCGGATCTCCGTACCGCTGCTCTAGACACTTGACTGCCGCTGCGTAATTCGCCTCTGTGAGGCTCAAACCACTGATCACTGCTGCTGCTGCTCCGTAAACACTGCTACGTAGGTATGTGAACTTATCCGTGTCTGTCAAGCCGCTATTGGAGTGGATCAGCGACTTGAACACATCAAAGAAATGCTGCCACTCCATAGCGTTGCCACCAAACTTGCCGAGCTCTAGTTTCGGCAGCTTCACTCTGGCAGAGCTGCCACTGGCCGACACTGACGACAGCGTACTCAACTGTGAGTTGGACGCTGACGCCGCCACAACACTCTCTTCTGTAAGGGCAGCAAGCTTCTCAGTACTAGTATTATCACTCGCGGCATCCTCAGTGATCGGGTTGACTGCCTTTCCCGAGTCTGCAGTACCCTCTGAACTCTCTCCCAGTGTGCTCAGTGTACTGGCGCGTCGCTCATCACGGGTACGTGCTTTTTCCTCTGCTGGGAAATCCAATATACGGTCCAGTGTGCTGCAGAACGTCTGCAGCTTCAGTGTCCAGTCATCCGCCTCCATGACTTCCTCCTCAACGTCTCCATCACTGACGTCACACACTAAATCCAAGACCTCTGCGTCCAGAGCGGCCAGCAGCTCCCTCTTGCACGCCAGCAAATTGCGTGCATGACGCACAGACGCACGGACATCGTCGGCCAACACATTCAGATATCGAGCTTCGTCCACAACGTGCTGGAACTCGCCCATGCATCTCGTGCACGATCTCCGATGGCCCCCACGCACCCTGCGCTTCTTGCGCAAAACAAGCTGATCCTGCGTCTTTGCCGACGCGTCTACTGCTGGTTGTCTTGTCCCAGAGCTAGTGGTCTCACTCGTCTCTCTGGACTCCTCCTTCTCCTCCATGACTGACCAAATTTCTCGATTTTAAAACACTAATCGACTCTCGATCTCAAGCTCCACGATCCGGCTCGAAGGACCATGTGAAATTATCGACCACAACTAAAAACTACGCGGTCTTCAGACCCCTGTTGTGGCACGATTTCCTGGCCTTTTCGTGGAGACAACTAGAAGACTGTATTTACTTATTGGTTTCAACCACACTCTCAAATCAACCAGAAAACAACCAACAACAACGATCGCCAAATCGCTGTCATCAGCAAAACGTGCCCGCGTGCGTGCATTGGCTTACGTGTACTGCAGTGTGCGTGCATGCATATCGAAGTGTACGAGTAGAAAAGCAGAATGATCATGCATGATGCATCGATGAGTCATACCACAACGTAACCATGGATATAAATAATGGCGACGCGATGGCGACAGCAAAGTTCCGCGTACAAAAGCGCAGGTGCAATAAGGAAAAATCAGAGTGCAGAACAAACAGAAATTCAAATCGAAAGGAGATAAATATTGTGGAGATGAAGCAAATCAGTTTGGTCTGTCAGAGGGTGCTTGCGCCCAGAGACAGGGTGACAGCAAACCCTGTCAGAGAGAGTCAGTGTACAGAATAGGAATACATAGAACGCAGCACGCAATGGAGTTGCTGTGGAGAGCGAGAATGCAAGCAACAACGTAAGTATTATCTATGCAAGTGATTATATCGGCGTATCCGACAAACACGCACACAACAAACACTGTATTGTAACAACACACTCGTAAATGATGTTATCCCAACAACACTCATTCTATTTCAGCGCAGTGTCCTGTCCAATCACACTCAAAATCACACTCGTAAATCTCGCACACTCCCTCCTTGACAATATGACAACTGACACTCATAAATCTCGCACACTAGTATTTTACTTCACCAATTACACAGGCATGATTGCCTTCTCACCGTCCCATATGTCCGGTTCTCACAGAAAGATGAAGGAAATTGTATGAGGAAATGTATAGAAATAGAGTTGTGCATGCCCCGTCCTGTGGGAGGTTCACAGTTGAATGCATAGAGCTCTACTCATTCAAATTTGATGAGGCCGTTAGCGGGTTTAGCCGACCTGAGATACTCCCATGTTTCTCTGTTTACCAAAAACATTTCACACCAAAATGCATTTTTATAACAATATGGACATGTAGCTCCTGTGCATAGCATGTGGGTCGGAGAAGCAGTCCACCACTCTTATGCTGGGTCGGAGAAGCGGTCCACCATCTTATGCTGGGTCACAGGAAGCTCAGCTGCTACCCCGGTCATCTCCACATCAGACTGTCCTTGTAGCAAGACATCTTGTTGATATCCGTATTTGTTTTCCGCCCTGGCTATCGATTTTCTGTACTTGTGACTTGCAGCTGAGAGAGTTGGCACATGCTTGCAGCACTGTAAGTATGGACAGTGCGTTGTCACACCGGAGCGTGAAATCTTCTGCGACTGCGATGCTGAACATACTGGAACTTACTGTAATATCTCAGTCGAGCCGTCGTCCCCTGCTCGTGTTGGTGCTAGCCAGCAAGGCAAGTGTGTTTGATGGTGGGTGTTGAAGGTGGTCACCTGATCATGCGTGTGTGTGTGTGTGTGTGTGTGTATGTGTGTGTGCGCGCGTGTGCATGCGTGAGGGGTTGAGGGTAGAGAGAATTGGTGTGACATTCCTGGTTTTTGCACACACTTTCCCCCTGGGTCATCTCTAAATTTATGACGTTAATTAATGAAGTACTGATCTATCAGCATTGCGTGACGGTCTAAGACAGAGGGAACCTGGTTCTAGTCCTACTTAAAAGCGGATTTTTCCAGCCATGCTGCGGCGACTCACAGTTAATTGGAAATTCGTGGTCTGGCATGTGGGAAACAAGGAAACTTGCATGGAGGCAGCCGATAGGATTTTCGGTCTTTGACCACTGTGGTGGTGGGTTTCATCTGCTTATCTATCACTGTTCAGGGGCGTCGGACACGGTATGGTCACTACGGTATTGACCGTACCACTTTTTTCCCCATGTACCCGTGAATCAATAAACTACACTTATCTGGGATCTAAATTTCTAAAATTTTTGGCTCAGCCACCTCTCCCCTACGAGTAAATCGTACTTAGGATGGCTGACCGTACCACACTAAAATATCTTCAGACTCCCCTGTTGTTTTGGGAGCTTAGTCTGCGCCTTGATCCTTAAGGGGGGCAGCTTTCCTACGGATGCAGACAACTGTGTATAACCGAGTCCCTACGAGAACCTTAAAAATTTGTTTGTATTGATTCCCTTGTTTACTTTTGAAAATGCTGTTTTATTTAAATGTCGCAGATTCCAACCTTGGAGAGGAAGGTTGCCCTGAGCTACCGTGTCAAAATGGCGCTACGTGTCTTCACGTTGGAGGACGCCGCAGGTGCAAATGCACAGACGGCTACTCGGGAATGTCGTGTGAAGATTACACGTTTTCGCTGGCCGCTGATGGTAAAGTAACCGTTGACTAGCACTAGTTGTTGTTTTTATTGTTGTTACCGTGGTAGTGGTTGTTGTGGTGGTGGTGGTGGTTTGTGATGGTGGCAGCGGCGATGGTGATGGTGCTGGTGGTGGGCGTGGGGGGGGGGGGGGAGGGGGACATCATTATCCCTATTTAGACACGTTGTGTGAACATTGAGCGGGCATTCATGTACGGTATCTCCCCGAATGTAAGCCACACCGTTTACACTAAATCTCTGAAGAGGACTTACAATCGAAGTTGATATTCCACTTATGTCAATATTATGGAAACGATATGGCTCAAATCTGAAAATAGGGGCGCGTTGTATAATCGGGGAAGTACGGCATATGTCTTCGTGATTTGAAAGCAGAGAGCCATCCATAATAATATTCTCATACAGAGTGTAGAGCATGAACGTGTGAATGGAAGTGGACAGTGCCGGGCCATACTGCCCGAGCCCAACACATTTACCCTGACTGCTTGCTGTAGCCGAACCATGTGTTGCACAATACTGCCATCATACTTATTGCGTCAATGCACACTGTACACGATCTGTCGCAGATTACTAAATTGAAGCAAGGAAAACGGTGGGGCACAAGTTATGCATTTGAGTCCACCGACTAAACCAGGTTTTGAACAGTCAGACGTCTAACGCATAACTTGTGCCCCACCGTTTTCCAAGTTTCAATTTAAGATTTTCCTTGGCTTATAATCTAAGTACATTATATTATTATTTTATCATTCTTGTCATGTCCTGCAGAAATGACGATGGCCGATTGCGAGAACAACTGTGAGTTTGGCGACTGTGAGGAATGGGAAATCGAGGGAACCGACCACAGCTTTGCGAAATGCGCGTGTCATGGTGCCTACACCGGGAAATACTGCGCGGACGAGGGTGAGGAGGTTACAGAGCCGGAGAATCCTCAGCGGGATGACATACTTGGCGAGGAGGATGAAGGCTGTAAGTGAGGTGACTAGTATCTTCAGCATAACGCTCCGGGGCTGGTCTTTTGCTCACCTTGTCCATTTTTATCATTTACGAGTTCGGAATGTGAACTTTAGTTAAACAAAAAAAACAAACAAAAAAATGCTGCAGGCCGAAGAAAAAAGAAAAAGAAAAGAGGATTTGAACTTTTAAGAATGCTCTTCAGAGGTTACTAACAGAATTTGCTCAATTTCAATAAACCTTTAACGTCAGGCGAAATTACTGGTCAGTCGGCGTCACGCATTTTTCACAAAAAAATTGCGTTTCACCTGCTGGGAGAGTATGCGTGTACTCGAGTCTCATCCTGAGCACGTTTTTTTCTTCTTTTTTTTCAGCTCCAGTATAGCTGTATTTTTCATTGCAAAGCCGTCCTCGATTGTTGTGCTCGTTGTTCAAACGAAGTGGACATTCAATCATGAAGGCAGAGGACATAGGAGCCTGATTGGAGTTTCTCGTGGCATAGGACGGCCATACAGAGACACTTTGGGATTTTCTGAATATAAAATACCGTACGCACGATGCTGAGATCAATTTGTGCGATATCAAATTGTTTGTGATCTACCACATCGAGCAGAACGGGATCCAAACACAAGCTTACCGACGGTTAGGCTGCCGACCTGACTGGACAAATGATCCCTGGCTTCACCAGACGCCAGACGTCGGACACCATGTCCTTTGCCGCGATGCCCATCTCCAAAAAGAACTCCCGATCTTCGTCGTGAATAGGCTTGAAATACTCAATATTCAACCGAGATTCGCGGTCTCACCCTTTCTCAGATCGAATCATTTTTTGTTGTAGCAGTTGCAGGGCAGATCCCCGCCACTACTTCAACAGAAGATGGCTCCAAAGCATACCTGGAACAAGCCATATCGAGGTTGCAAGCCACCCCTCTCAGCACTTTTTTTGAAGAAATTCGAAATTTCAATGGTGGAAGATATACTATGAAGAGAATTTCAAAAAGTATATTTCGCGGAGCGATCGCTCAACCTACGTCATTCAAACTTTGCAGGATGGTTCAGACGTACATGCTAGGCATGGAACCACAGAAGATGATATCATAGCTGACACACAGAGTCACACACACAGCAGATTCGTGTGCACAGATACTAAATTAGTGGACGTCGTCATCTTCTTCCCGCTGATCTCAAATGTACGATGACGTGCTATTTCGCCTGACGCGAGATCCTCGATATGCCTTGCAAACGAGTAGGGAGCAATAGTGATTGTTGTCTGGATATTAGCACTGATATTCATATTCATTGCGAAATGGGAACCACTGACATTTCGAAATTACCATAACAGTCATATGTGTAATATTTTGGTGTGGCAAGCTCTCGTGATAACCGTTGTCATGCTGAACACATTGTTCCCAGGATGCCTGCTTAAAATAGAGGGTGTTCTCTTGATAATTTTGGATCCTTTCCATGTCAATGTCAGACTGTGTTAGTGCAATGAATCACTCCATGTGTGACATTTGAACAGTATTATCAAATGTTCAGCCCGGTAAGAATCCGACCCAAGGTGGTGTATTTTGCACACCCCAGCTTGCACGGTCCTTGACGCCCTGGAAGTGGTACGAATGTCGCATGGGCGTACACACATACAAGTCCAGTTTGTGCAATTGTAACTGGTCCAGGGCGTCAGTTTTGCACTTTCGGTCGGGCTTCACCTAGCGTAACTATGCTCTATGGCAGCAGTATTATTATTTAATGTACGAGTTCATACTTACCATCACTGTGCAATTCTTTGCCTTTGCCTGTGAGCTGTGATCATTGTAAATAAATTACAAAAAATACGCCTACGCTGTCCACACCAGTCTAAAAACGTAGAAAACAATTTCTGAACCAAACCGTTTCGTTCCCTGCTCACCAGTGGCTCATGCAGGGAATATGGCGAAATGGCAAAGACAGCAATTATTTTGTCAGGGAATGGGGGAGGGGGATGCAATATTACGCTAGACTGGTGTGAAAAGGCTAGCGGGTCAACACTAGTTTCTTGATCGTGCGCTCTCTGCTCAGTCACCGGATCGGACGGGTCGGTGTGTCGACACTCGGATTGTCTGAACGACGGTGAATGCGGCCACTTCAATGATGGTTCAATAGGCTGTCACTGCCTGCCTAACTACAGTGGCTCACGCTGCGAGGACTTCACTGGCCCGAGTAAGAATAATTATAAATTCTGATCATAGTTCTGTGCTGAATCAATACCCACTAGCTGTCAACAAGCTATGCTTTATATTGGCTAAGCCCCACTGATTTTGTCTTAAGTCGCCTGATGATTGGATTGTAAAGAACTAGGAGGAATTTCAGTATCTACCTGCAACCCTTCCTTGTTTGGCTGTTGGTGTGTGTAATGGCTAACGAGGGTAGCAGTGAGTCAGCTGTGAGAGCGCATGGAGGAGAGGAGAGGAAGAGTTCTTTACATTTTATTGGCCGAATACTCAGGCGAATAGTACCGTTCACCATTTGAAATTGATGATTGGATTGTGCCAAAAAAACTCTGAGTTGCGCCGAAACCTGTAAACCTCCTTTTTGCCTTTTGCGTGTAATAGTGCTCCACGCTATTGTGTTCAGCCCTCTCCGCAGGCAAAAGGAAGTTTCGTCCGTGTAAATTCTGATCATAGACTTGCATAGCCATGTTGGCGGGTTTGAGAAACAGACTGCAGGCATTGCTCAGCACTCAAGCGCATGTTAGAGAGACCGAGAACGCAGTCTTAGGACTTTGAGAGCCCCGCTTGAGATATACTGTACTTTGCCGGTTGTAAGTAGACCTTTCATAGTTGGGGCCTTGATCCCCCATTCAAGGGCACTTATACCCTGTTACATCAGGGCGTAGCTAGTCCCCTTTTAGGGGGGGGGGAGGGTCCATGGCCGCCTACGTGTAGGATGGCTGGTGCATGTCATTCATGGTCATTATGTGCAGGCTGAGCATAGGTCGAAATTTTCAGGGGAGTGCACGTGCCCCCCCCCCCCCTCCCGTTCCCCAAGCGGGCTAGGTGCCTGTAGAGTGTCCAGAACTGAATCAAAATTCTTTGTCCCTATACACGCTATACCACTGGACGTGCCAATGATGGACACCCGTTCTTCTAGACTTAAACCGATTCTTGACCGTCCGCCAACGCACACACCGCCAGCGGCACCAGCACACCCCACCGTTTAGTCCACTGATAGTCCACCGGCGAGTGTCTCGCTTGACTCAGCCACGGCAACGAGCGATGATAAAACGTGGACAACTGTGTACAGGAGGAGCGAGCGGCTGGGATTGAATACGGTCGCAGTCGCTGAACCCACTATGAGCAACATTAGCTGTGTAAACCATGGTCAACGGGACTGACAACACCCTCCAACTGCATAACCCACAGCCCCACCCACAGCATCTCACCTTCTCATAAACTGACCTCGTATTGGCGATGGTGCCATCGTGGGAATAAAGAATTCAACACACACAACAGACAACACAATGGGACCTGGACCACCCGGCGGTGACAATGACCTGATGACATCAGTATCTGATTAAAAAAAAGTATCAATCTGCCATTGCCAAACATATGTCCACTGAGAAGTCCCCAATGTGCTGATGTGTATTCTGATGATTTTTTTCAAGGGATGAAACGAGTACCGGTATATCGAATACTCGAGCGCTCGCTCAAAAACTTGAAACGAGCGAGTACTCGTTTCTCAAAGAACTCGTAGTATCCTATGTACAGTGTACTGTATGCATTTACATCGAGCACTTCTGTTACTCTGACTAGTACTGTACTGATCACCCATGCAAGCGCGAAATCATTGCTTGTCCCTACTTACCAGCAAAACACAGTAGTTCAGACTATTTTCTGCACTAGGCTGCAGGCAAGGCTACATGTGTATCAGGTGTAGTATGTTCGGTGTTACGAGAGTGTGTGCAGTGCATTGTTTTATGTTTTCAGTAAAATACTTGTACTCGCTCGAATACTCGCTCGTTTTTTCAAAGAGTACTCGAGTCCTCAATTTCGGCACTCGTTTCACCCCAATTTTTTCTATTTTGTCACGTGGTCGTTCTGATCGTCATTTGAAGGTTCTTAATCACGGGCCACAATGTACCCGGTTAAAACAGCTCCTTTTTGAAAATGTTTTCAATGAGTGATGTGTCGCTTTGTTTTGCGGCTTTAATTGGTGCTTTTCTCCAATGTCATGCAGTCGTATTTATCCAGCTTTTATTTCTTGTGTACTTGCATACTGGTATTAGTTTAGTCCCACAATCTGCGATAAAATGATCCACTGTAGCACCTACTCCACTTTTATGTTTATGTATCTATGTCATTCGGATCTTCCCAAGTTGTACAATGTACTGTTGAGATACCGAATTCAAATACATCAATACCGTACCATACCATACCAAGGTGCTGGAATCTGTTTATATTTTCACCTGGTAGCCCAACCTCTGCAGGCAGAAGCAGAACATAGTCATTGCCCCGCTGTAACTGTTATTTGTTCAAGCCACACCTTTGGCTTGCTCCTCTTCGTAGTGTCACCGTGTGAACTTGTACTAGTGTGTTGTGTGTGTGTGTGTTTCGCTTGGTCTCACACTCTTCTTGGCATCGTGTTGCTGCCTCCCGCATTGCAACTGATTTCTCACCTGTAGCAGCTTTATTGTCTGCTACCATGAGCTGCTTTGTTCATTCTATATCATCTACCAGAACTAGTCACCCATGAATTGTGGAGAAAAACGCAAGTGGCGACTTGGCAATGCAAGTGACTTAAAAAATCACTTTTTAAACCTCTAATAGTACGTTCCAGAAACTTACCGTGGTTGGTCCCCCCCCCCCCCCCCCGTAGGGAAAAGACCCAACTGTGTCATCAGGATGCGTGGCACGTGTTGTGAGCTGTCCTTCGAGTGAAACACTTGTCAATGCCTTCTAGGTTCAGCCTGGTTCATTAGCTCAGATGGCTAGAGCATTGCTCATGACAAGCAAGGTCCCTCTAGTCCTGGTGGGGCTGGTGTTTTCTCTCGCTTTTCTGGCAGTTCACCCCCCCCCCCCCACCCACCCTGACTGCTCACCTTGAATTTGAAGTTTATCCCATTCCCTTTTCAATAAATACTAAACCAAAAATATTTAAAAATCCGGCGCCAAAAAGGAGCACTCCAGAAAATCGGCTTCAAGTAGATTTTGAAAGTCGTGATCGGTTTCGTTTGCATGTGAAGAGTTATGTCGCAAGTCTCCAGAAAAAGCAATTTATCATCCTTTTCAGCGATAAACTGCAGGATTTTCTAAATCCTGTCGACACTACTCAATTGTGAGGAAATACCTCGCAATACTCGGAATCACACAATTCACAGGAGACTACAAATTGTGCTTACCAGTAACTACAGTTTCGCTCGGTGGAATCCGACCTACAATGCACATGTAGAGCGCATATTTGGCGCCCTCAATTTGCACAGCTGTTGACACCCTGGAAGTGGCAGGAATGCGGCTGGACGTACACGTGTGCAAATACAATGATGTACATGTAATCATGACTGGTTACATGACTTTATCTTGCCCGTAAAAGAGGCCGTTACCCCCCAAAAAAAAGAAGAAAAAAAAAGAAAAGAAAAGACTGGTTACAGGGCGTCAGTTTTGCACTTTGGGTTGGATTTCACCGAGCGCAACCGTACTTCCAAACTTACTCAGTATTAATAGACAGTGTTGTGTATGCACCGACTGCTAACAAAATATCTTCTCTCCACGTCATGGTGCTATCCCGTTTTTTTGTGCCCTGCCTGCGAATAGGGAGACGAGAGCCTGCCACCGGCCTTGATGCCTTCAGCCAATGCTTTGACAAGTACTGCCAGGTTAAAAGTGAGTACTGTACCACGGGTAGTCAACTGTAACCCTGAACCAGGGAGTAGTAAAATACCATAGTTTTACTACTAGCTGGGTTGCCATGGAGATGGCGACGTTCCTGACAAACGGTTTTCTGATCTGGACGGTTTGTTTAAAAAAGATAAAGTAAGGTGTAGAATGGTTTAGTGGAGAAGTCTCCTGAAATTTCCGCAAAGTCTGATACTTTTAATTTTGAGAACCGCATACTGGAAGATGATTCACAGTTTCCCACCAATAAATGGTATTTCATGCATTATGTATAGAGAGGTGCTGAAGTTAATTAAAAAGAAAACAGAAAAAAAGAAAGCAGTCTTCAGCCCAACCTTACTTTAATTACAATTCTCTTTGCTTTGCTTTCAGAGACCAGTGCACAGTGGGTGCTTACCTGTGAGCAACCTTCGCGCAGATGTGCTCGTCTGCTGGGTGAGAAGAAAGAACGAATGATCGCATCTTCAACAGTTCTCTGATAAATATACCGTCTTGCTTTCATTGTTGACGTCTATAAAATTAACGAGAAAATGGTTGGTTCTACTTCAAACATCAGGTTTCTAGAAACCATATTGTACGCCCCACATCGGAAGTGCCACCTGATGAACTTCCAACGGAGAACACCTCCAACCGCAAATAGCAAAAGTAATTTTAAACATAATTGAAGTTACGTGCAGGTTCTTGCCAATTCTCGTCCTGGAGTGAATCTGACCGCTGCCGAATTGCAAAACATTAAAAAAATCCATTCCCGAATTGCAGGTGACAGCACAAACCAGTCTAATGTCTGTGCCTTTCTCCTTCATCATGCCATGCTTAGGGAACACACAGACCTCAATGAGTCAATATAGATAGCTGCTGCGACAGATAATCAGCACAAGAAGCACAGAAGCCATGATTATAGTTTTGACTAGGCCTTTCGTAACATTACTTTTAATCACTATTGTACACAACTTGAAAAGTAATGTTACGAAAGTCAAAACTACCGGCATATGGCTGTTGTGTTTCGTGTGCTGATTCGTTTATGTCCAACCAAGAATCTATTGATGAGTGGATAAGCAGCAGAGTTCAGCCTGTTTATTAAGAAAGCACCTCCACCGCATGCGCTCTCTGGCCGACCTCATCACACCAGCGATATGACTCAGTACAAGTTGTAGATGCTGACACTGATGAAACAGCGCTATATGGAAAATGTTTCATTATTTTGTCAGTGTCTACAACTTGGAGTCATGTTGCTGGTGTTATGAGGTCGGCCAGAGAGCGCGTTTTGGTGCAGGTGGAATTGCTTTTAAAAGAATCTATTCAGACAGCTACATAGACAAATGCAGTGTTTGTACCTTGTGATAATACCTTGTGCATGGATGCAGCCTCAAGTGATCAGCTTCAGTTCCGTGTCAAGTTTGATGTCTTTAAGTTGATGTTATCTGTTCCTTTTTGGGGACAGAAGAACTACACATCTCAAGCTATTCATCGCCGTCATTATCAAGAAGGACTCCGAAATTCATGAACCAGTTTTCGAGCATTCTCTTCTGGTTGCTGGTTCTGGTTGCTTGTAATTCATTTGAAGAGAATGCCCGAAAACTGGTTCATGAATTTCGGAGTCCTTTGATGATGATGGTGGAGAATAGCTTGGGAGTTGTAGCTTTTCTGTCCCTGATTCCTGCCTGATTCTATTCCTGTCTCCAAGAAAGTTATTCAACTGTTCCTTTTGCCTTACATTTTTTTATCTCCTCGCAACCAATGACTCCAGAGACTGTCATTCCTAGGAAGAAGGCAGAAAAGCTGCATGGTGAGTGGGTCATGTGGATATTATTATTTTGTACGTGTATCTACTATGGCCATACAGCAGTGAAGAAACCACGGACGAGTAGTACTTGAAACTATGTGGCTGTCAAACGTGGTCTTATAACGAGTCGCAAATTTCACGATTATCCAAAATGCATAGGTTAACGAGAACATACGTTAACGATCTTTCGGCGTTCAGGCATAGCCGCACATAACACATATGCGGCATTACAGAACTTATTATAACGAAGAAATTTCATTCGTTAAAACGTTAGATTTACTTCCTCATTATATTAATTTTACATGTCTTACAGCAACTGTGGGTAGCAGCACGGCAGAAACAAAATCCTTCCCCTTCCAAGCAGAACCTGAACCTGGTACCCTTTGTTCCTCAATCACGGTCTTAGACCAACCCACTATGCCTGCCTGCTGATTGGCTGTACCCTCTTCTCTGGCTATTTTGTATCAGTTTTGAGCCCTCATGGTCGAATTCGATCGCCAGGTGCTTCCGACACCAAGGTAGAGGAAATCCGCAGGAGTGAGTCCAAAGGTATGAAAACTTTTAATAATTATGGTAGAAAGTATTTTGTTTGTTTCCTCTCTCTAACTCTCTCTTTCTGTCTCTCTCTCTCTCTCTCTCTCTCTCTCTCTGTCTCTCTTTCTCTCTGTCTCTCTGTCTCTGTGTGTGTGTGTCTCTCTCTCTGTCTCTGTCTGTCTCTCTCTCTCTCTCTCTCTCTCTCTCTCTCTCTCTCTCTCTCTCTCTCTCTTTTATACTGTGTCAGGGATATCTCTGTGTACAGGCGAAGCTAGAGGTTCAAATCGGAATACCAATGATTGTTATTAGTAATTGTTATGAAGTACATTGATGCAGCAAATGGTATTTTCGGTCTTTGGCCACTTTGTGGTGGATCTGATCTACTCACCTCCCACCGCTTAGGAGCTGCATGTGCGCCTTGATCCACAGAGGGTGGTGGCGTTCATGTGGATGCGAAAAACTCGGCCTTCAGCTTAGTCTCCCGGGAAACGGAATATTTTTTTAATACTAGTATCTTTATGGAGAAAGTGATGAGAGTCGGCTACACACACCCGACAGCACCCCACAACCCTGCTCACACACACGCACATACACACACACACACAAACACACACACACACGCACAAACACACACATGCACACGCACACATACGCACACACACACACACATACACACACACACACACACACACACACACACACACACACACATGTACGCACACAGATTATCCGATGCAGACACTAATGTGGTGTACACCAATATTGATTTCTGTACTCGTTCATCCCCTCCAGAGACTGCAAGTTCCCCTGAGAAAGACAATAGGAGAGAAACAAACGTCAATATTGACCAGCTGCTGAAGGATCTGATAAAAGATGGTACGTGTTTGTGTATGTGCACGCATGCACATATGTGTGGTTGTGTGTGTGTGTGTGTGTGTGCTCAGTTTGTAGTTGTTGGCCCCGGCATCACGCTTACTGACCGCGCTCCCCTCCAACTTGGTCAAGCGGAGGTGGAATGCGTACCGCATTTCAAATACCTCGGTTCTGTAGTGGACAGCGGTTGCCGTTCGTCCCGGGACATCGCCGCAAGGATTGCCCAAGCCTCCAGGGCCTGCGGTGCTCTTCGGAGGTCTGTATTCTCCAATCCACATCTGCTGATGCACACCAAGCGGTGCGTATTCAATGCTTGCGTTCTGTCCCTGCTGTTGTATGGCTCTGAGTGCTGGACGCCCCTTCAGCATGACCTGCAGAAGCTCTCAACCTTCAGCATGAGGTGCATCCGATCCATCCTCGGGGTCTCTCGAAGCCGGATGTGGGACGAACACATCACCAACGAAGAGCTGCTGGTGCGCTGGGGAGACTCCGAGACGATTAAAGACAAAATTGCACATCGGCGGTTGGAGTGGTTGGGGCATGTGGCGCGGATGCCGGACAACCGCATCCCAAAACAGGTACTGTTTGGCTCCTTCTTGCAGCGTCGCCCAGCACATGGCCCACGTCGCAGATGGAAGGACTGCGCTGTCCGAGATCTACGTGCCCGTGGCGTGGAGGCATCATGGTATGATGTTGCATGTGAGTCTCGCGCGGAGTGGCGCAGCACCTACCAAGAGCCTGACAATGTGCCTGAGCCTCCGCCCCGAGTGGTATGTACGGTATGCGGACGGGATTTTGCACGGAAAGGAGACATGGCTCGGCATAAGTGTCTGGAGGAGCGTGCGCGGCCTGTGTCTGAGCAGCGGGGCGCCAGTCAGTGCGGGCGGTGTGGGCGGTGGCTGAGAAGCCGCGGTGGCTTGGTCCGGCATGTGTGTGCCTCAACGGTGGATGCCGCAGTGCCACCTGGAACTACCGGAGCGTCGGCACCGGCGGAGGGATGTTGTGCCGCGCATTGTGACAGGTGTGGTCGCTGCTTTCGCGGTGTCCGGGGACGGGGAAGGCATCGCTGTTCAAGGGTGGCTCATAGACCAACAGCAGAGGAGCGCTCAGCCTTCCAGCACGTGTGCATATGCGGCAAGCGGATGCGACTACCCGTGCACCTGGAGCGTCATCGAGCGTCGTGTCCTCTCTCTCTCTCTTCTCAAGTTTCCCAGTGATGGGATCACGTGACCCTTTTGCGGCAGTGACTCTACAGGACAGGACAGGTGTGTGTGTGTGTGTGTGTGTGTGTGTGTGTGTGTGTGTGTGTGCGTGCGCGTGCGTGTGTGTGTTTGATTCAACTCTTTTAGAATGATGGGCTTTACAAATATTCGAGTGCAATTGGCAGACCGGGACGCATTGGTTTCTCAGCATCTATTCAAGCACTACATTTGGTACAGCGCAGGCATAGAATACTGACTTTTGTGAATGTGTGTCTGTGCTCAAGTAAGCATACATGTATGGACATGATAGCCGCATGCATGAAAGCCACATGCATGATAGCCACATGCATGATAGCCGCATGCATGATAGCCACACGCATGATAGCCACATGCATGATAGCCACATGCATGATAGCCACATGCATGTACTTTCAGATACTACTTTCCTGTGGTGTTATCCTAGATGCTGCGACTGCCTGGTGTATTTATCGGCATGTGTATGATTGTACTTTTGCTCTTGCGTGCATGCTCGCGCGCGCGCGCGCGCGTGTGCGTGTGTGTGTGTGTGTGTGTGTGTGTGTGTGTGTGCGTGTGTGCTTGCGAATGCATGTTCCCGCTATGTGTGTGCGTGTGAACTTCGCTGTATTGTTACTTTCAGCACGAACTGTTGATGCCGACGAAGACTGATTCTTGCCGAGATTCGCACCATCAGATCATACCTCTTTGTGAGCAGTGACAGTCATGTGATAGGCCTACACGCGTGTACCATGATGCACTTCACACTGAAACATACTTTTTTCAGCTCATAATGATACAAGATATCGTCAACACCACAGACTCAATAGCCTTATGTCTGCCGCAAAATTCCTTTTTACCCCTCGCAAATTTTCGTTCAGCAGAAATGCATACTGTACCCACGGCACATTCATCCCATTGAAACTAAATAGATGACAGATTACATTGTATGTGGAACACACGCTGTCAGCCACCGGCCCTCTTTTTGAAGAAGGTACTCTTTTGTTGGACCCTAGCCATCAGTTTTACATAATTTTGCTAATTTTGCTGCTTTTCGAGCAGAATTTGCCAATTTTGCACAAATGATCAGCCAATTCAAAATGGCTCGCTTTAAGGCTGCGTTTACACGGAGACGAAACGAAACGAAACGAAACGAAACGGAACGAAAACGGGCTGGCCTCGAATCGTTTTCAAACCGTTTACACGAGAACAGCAAATCGTTTTGAACCGTTTACACGAAAACGGAAAACTGGCGATCAAGCTGGAGTTAGCACGTGCTGGCTTGGCGCAAGGGCGGGAAGTAACACGTTAGTTGGAGTTGGTACGTGCTGGTGGTCGCAAAGGTCAGGTATTTCCCGCGAAATATAGTCCCGCTCGGAATGGTTTCCATGACCGCGCTCCGTTTCCAATCGTTTTCACTGTTTTCACCGTTTACACGAGAACGAAAACGTTTTGAAAACGTTTTGAAAACGTTTCAAAACACTTTGAAGTGCGTTTCCATTTCGTTCCGTTTAGGTATTGTTTTCGGGCGTCGTCGTGTAAACGATAGTAGTAAACGCAACGATTTCGTTCCGTTTGGGTCGTACTTCGTTGTCGTGTAAACGCAAATCGTTTTCAATCGTTGTCGTGTTAACGCAGCCTTAGAAGCATACTAGAAACCTTTTGCACATTCTTTTGAGGCCGACACAAGTAGAAGAATAAAGCTCCTTCATTAATCATTATCCATATTCGAGGATTTGCAGGCGCTCAGTGGCGAATGCATCTTCACTGACCTGCTGGTTGCTTAGTGACAGTCACAGGCAGTGGTGGCAACTGATTCCGTATTTCCCCCAATATAATTTTCACGTTTTACGCTAAAATTCAGGGTAAAAAAAGGGGGTGCAGCTTGCAATCGAGCATGACTTACTACTGAAGTGAATACATCGAAACAATATTGCTCAAACCTGAAAATGGGGATGCTACTTATAATCGAGTGCGCCTTGTAATCGGGGAAATACGGTATAGTATCCGACCCCAGCTTGGTGAGCTCGCATTACAAAAAAAAACAGCATGTTCATGTACCCTCTCGAATAGAGATCGCTACCTGAGCATAATCTGGGCTGAACACAAGGGTGGGATGTCAGTAGCCAGTAGCGTACTTGTTGGCTGACAGCATGCATTTAAACAAGGCGGAGACGACCGTGTTCGGAAACAGTAGGGAGGTTTAGTTCCCACGTAACGGAAACGCGTACGTGGGTGATCCACGTAAAGTGGATGAAGGGCACCCACGTTGCAATGTTGTGTTTAGTCACACGGAACAAACAAAAGCATGAAGTGAAAGGCCCAAACCTGGTCAAAGACGAAGCTACCCGGGCCTAAGAAGCTCATCCAATATTTTGATTTCGGGCTTCGGAAACTTCTTCAGCTGAGCACCCTCACAGCTCGCACAATGCGCTTCATTCTGATTTTCACCCACGTTCTGGCGGAACGTGGGTGAGCCTCCATACACGGTATGTCGTGAATCAGAAAACGTCTGTACGTGGGTCACTGAGTATCACGTGGTACACACACGTAAAGTACCCACGGATTACGTGGGACTAAACCTCCCTACTGATCTTACTACAACCTCCGTGGTTGATAGAGCCCCGGTCTTCACGACCATCTGAGCCGTATGGGTCTTAGACCCGGTTCTGACCCTCTATATTCTAGGGAGTTGCTGTCCACCAACAACATGTTTCAACAAAACAAGGTTTGTCTACTATAGTACGACTGTTGTACCTGTAGGAAAGATCTTCAGTACAGACAGTGCTTGCTAAATGAAATCCGATACCAAGAATAACTATAATAGGGAAGCGTCCCTGCACCAGTGCACAGCCCAGTGTTTAGGATCCGTGGTTTTCGCCTCGCCTTCGGCCTCGTTCCCATGGCATCAAGTTGAATACGGTGAAACCTGTCTAAGACGACCGCTCAAGGGACCTTCAAAATGTGGTCACTGTAACCAGGTGGTCTCCTTATCCAGGGTCATGTGACTGGAAATAGCACCCCTTGGTCCTGGTTCCAGTGGTCGTCTTTAACAGGTGGTCGCCTTGACAGATTTTACTGTAGTCACGTGATCAGCAACTGCGGGCCATTACTCGTCTTGTTCGCAACATACCGTAGACTTGGACTGCTTTACCCTCAAGGGCATTATCTTGTTAAAAGATGGCTGTAATGGCTATCGGCTGGCAGCCAGACCGAATCTAACAGTTTAAAAAGCAAAACTCTGGTACTTTACTCCACGGGTATGACGACGGAAAACTCAGTCTGACCGCGTCTAGCGTGAATTTGTTATGGCAATTGCTAAAAACGTAAAGGATGATCTCCGATAAAAATTGATTCAAGATAATAATTTTAGAAATGGCAAAAGAACGTGTTGTCACGTGGAATTTTCATTATTCTGCATTTTATATCCATGGGCTGTTCGCACCATCACTAAGTCCCGCCTGAGCCATGACTCATGTTCCTACCCGGGCCCAAAAATCAGCGTGGAAGGATCGCTCAGGGCCATGCGGTCTGCTTCAACTTCCATGGCCGAGGGAGTGCGTGACCAGCCCGTGCGGCTCGTCACTTCCGTGTCGTCGTGCGGAGGCGTCGGGGCCGTGACGGGTGCACGGGGAGCGTGACGCTGATCGGTTGGCGCGGCGGACGATGCCGTGTCGGCGGTGATAGTCTGCGGCAGTGGCATGGCCGGGCCCAGCACACCGTGTATTGTGACTAGCAGTGGTGTGCTATCCGGGGACTGCACCACGGTCAGTATCCCTCCACTGCTGGCGGCGCTGAGCGCCAGATCGTCGTAATCAGGAGACAAGGATCTGGTCGGCGAGCCCGGTGTGGACTCCAGGTCCAGCGACGCTATGCTATCTACGCCGAACGTGCCCAAGGAGAATCGCGGTGGCCGGGCCGCTATTGCCGGGCTGCAGCTCCCGTCAGTGATGTCAGCCAGTGGTGAGATAGCGCTGCTGTAACCGCCTTGTTTTGAGCCAGGTCTTGGACCACCTGGCATACTCACTGTCCTGCGACGAGGCGCGCCGGGACTCCGTCCTCCCGCGGGTGAACGTGCTCCGGAAACGGAAGACCGAGCGCTGCCGGGTATGGGTGAGCTGGCCATGGAAGTCGGCCGGGACCCGAGGCAGGGCGACGCGGACCTCGCGTCCAGGTTGACAAACCCCATCTTGCGCGATGCCCTGGACTGTGCTCGCCCGGCCAATCCTCCATCCGTGTCGTCCTCTGAGCCGGCACTGGTGCTCATGAACGTGCTCAGTGACACGTCGTTGCTGTCAGCACGCAAGCTTGGCATGGACCGGGACGCCAGTGACCTGGGATCCACGCCACTCTGAAACACACTCAGGTGATCTGGTGTAGCGCTGGACACACTCCCTTTGCCGTGGTACGTTTGCCGCTGTTGATGAGCCCGGCTGCGTACCCCTCCGCCGGACCCAGGGCTAGGAGGTGTAGCTGGGGGCTGTGCGGTGACCCAGCCATTACCGCGAATCGGAGGCAGGGCATTGCAGCTCGCAGAGCGCAGTGAGTCTTCCGACGCGCAGAGCTTGGGAGCGAGACGGGTAGGATTGACCCCTGCTGCGCTGCCTGCCCTTGTCGGGAGCGGAGAATTCGACACGGAGCGACTGGTGGAGCATACGGACTGAGTGTCATCCATGCTCTGTGCTCTGTTGCTTATACGTCCCGGGAAAGATCGGCCGGGAATGGTCATACTCTGAAAGTTAACATTTCGACTCAGAGCCGGACTGATGCTAGGGGCACGCTTCTCGTTCAGAATCCTATCCGCTTCCAGCTCCTTCCTGGCCCGCTTGCAGGCGGCTCGTTGGCTCCGGTCTAGGTCGTCCGTTTCTCTGTCCAGCTGCCCACTGAGCTCCTGGTTGCGTCGCAAGGCACGCTCCTCGTTCGGCCCATAGACGACCTGAACGGGCGCATTGCCACGGGCGTGGACCACGGTTCTGGTGGGTAGCACAGTTGACATACTGACTGAACACTGCAAAGACAAGTGCAAGGCGCTCTTTGAACGCGCACACTCGATCAGTTCCCCAAAGGCAAACCGTGGAAAGTAGATAGCTAGTGATCAACACGCTGCACTGTACTGCTCTACATGTAGCTGAGCATCGACGTGAAGATCTCAGTACTGCCGTTCTGGCTTCAAGCTATACACACGCAACTTCACTAGACGCAAGAACCACGAAATGGACACTTCGAGAAGAGACTGGCTACAATTCTGGACCGGTCTGGATACACCTGCGACTGCTCTAGCCCCGGAGTGGACCCCGAAGCAATCCTACACATCGTTTTGTAACGCACAGGTACACATGTATCTGGCAAGCATGTCCATGACTTGTATTCCACCACGCTCGTTGTGAGCAGGATGAGTGAAATAATAATTTTGGCCATCACATTCCGGTGGACGTGGACTGAGTTCAGGGAATGGACAGTCAGTAGACGCGTTGCAAGATGGCAGTGATGTGAATGACATCGATGTCCATTGACGTCTGTTGTGCCAGTGCGTCCGCTATTAGCAAGAACAGACAACCGGTCCGACACCGGCCTGTCACGTAGTTCATACGAAATTTCCTCCTGGTGTAGTTTTACGCGAAGACAAGACAACTCTGTGGCCAGGCGTGACAAGTGGTTTAATTCTGCGTGCGAGCACCTCTTGTACTGCCCCCGCGCACTGCCACTGATGGAGAATCCCGCGGATAAGCCCATGCCCGCGCATACATGTACATGTAAGTCCAGGGAAAGTTCGAACAACACAAAGCTTCATCGTACAACTTCAAGCCCATGACATGGGCTTACATACCGAGAGTCCATAAATTATGGACTAAAAATTTTTTGACCGGCCGGTACTCCCAGAAAATAAAAATAAAAATAAAATTTAATTATGGACTCTAGCTTGGCCATACCATGTACATGTACAATGTACATGTACATGTACATGTGTACGTAGTACATGCACATTAGTTTTTTCGTACATTTCAGCACAACATGTCTGGCGCGATCACGTGGATCACGGGAATCAGTCCTGTTACTGTCAGGTGGGGTCAGACATGTTGTATGCATATTCTATTTTATTTTATACTTTGGATGAAGTTTTCCATTAGTCCTATTGAGTATTGGCATTTTATCGTATTACCCTTCAGACATCAATCCTGAATGGCATAAGCGAAAGTGGCACCCCTGCCACCTACGCGGACATGCTTTTAAGAATATTTCAGCACAATCATCGGTTGTTTTTTGTTTGCACAGTGGTTTTCAGCAATGTACTTCTCACTTCCTTGATACTCTTTGCAATAGCACAACTTGGTGTCGGCGTATAAGCCCACGCCCGCGTATAAGCCCATGTTCTCGTAGATCAATAAGCCCACTGAAACGTCCTTGTGAAACAGATAAGCCCATGCCATGGGCTTATCCGCGGGATTCTACGGTAGGCAGTGTAGACCGTAGACTAGTGACGCGCATAAAGGCCCATGGGCCATGGCCCAGGCTTATGAATATGAGTGAGTTTTTGCGTTATTTGCAATTTTTTGCGGGTCGTTTTGTCCCACACATATAGGCGCATGCGCTTGAGTTGCTAGTGTGCCGGTAGATCTACCTTGGATAAATTATTTTAAATTGTATGAAAAGAGTGCAAAACAGCACAGCAGTCATGTACATGTACATGTACGTGAACATGGTGTTTTTGTGGAGTCTCGGTGTGATGTGGCGGGATGGAACTGCATTTTAGGTTCATTTATACTTCGAAGTAGTTATACTTACTGTAGGATGGGTAATTTTAGCGACGTAAAAACCCTAGCGAATTTAGCGATCGACTCATTTTCGCTAAAGTTTCAAGTCGCTAATCCGTTGAGACATTAGTAGTGCACTGGTGATTCGTGAGTAAAATCGCTGCAAATCGCTAAAATTAAACGTCGCTAACCGGTTGATAATGGGAAAACGCTAAAATTAATAGTCGCTAAAATTACCCGTTCTACAGTAGTTATACATGTAAGCCCAATGTTCTTATTTGTGAGGGTGTGCTTATGCCCGGATATACGGTACATGTAGGCACATTCGCAGCACTGTATTACACTGTACTTTATAGCGTTATGACCCAGTGCACCAACCTGTCAACTCAGACGCCTGCCGGTCAATCATAAAGAGTTCATTGGGGACCCGGTTGATTGCTAAAATAGCTCCCTGCTGAGTCCCTGGACGTGTCAATTCGGCTGCTTGGCCTGCCAGCGTCTGGGAGTTCGGACAGCTTTCTCAGGCTTGTCATTGTGCGTGAGATGCGCATTTGAGTCCAGGGCGCGAAATAACGGTCGGACATCGGACAATATCCGACCGTTTACGGTCAGTTCCCGGATGTTTTGTGCACATCCGGACAAAGTGTCCGCGCACTTTTTTGCAAAGTGCAGAAAAGAAAAGGCACATCAATTCTTTGTCTCGTAGTCATTAGTTGTCTGGCAAGAGGAAGCCAAGCACCGCTGATCCGGGTGCTCCTCTGGGAAAGAAGCCCAGAGGAGTCAAGACGACCACTTGTGACAAGTGGGTCGCCGAGGATGATAGGGAGCTTTCAACTTCTGTTTGGCTGAGCTATGAGCGCAGTACCTCAGATCGTAGCGTTGTCGAAAATTTGGAGTGTAAGATGTGTTCCCGTCTTGTTAATAAAATTCGCGGCAGCAAGAATTTTTCTGACTCCTTCGTCGTTGGCTCAAGGAACCTGAAAACGTCAGCCTTCAAAGATCATGCTGCTTCTGAAATTCATCGCCATGAGGTGACATTGTTTGGCAAGGAGCAGTCAAGCGGAAACCCAATAGAGTATGCGCCAATCGCTCGAGCCTTGTGCAAACTTGACGACGCAGCAGCAGAAAATTTGCATGTCCGGACATGTCCGGCCATTTTGCAACTGGCAGGACATTGTGTCAGAGCACATTTTAATCCTTAGCGCATGCCCTGGAGTCCATGCTCAAAGTAAAGTTACTTGTAAATGCCGGCTGAGAACAATACAATGTCATGTACAGTAAGATCGGGCGCCGAAGAACGCAGGGGCTCGAGCGCAGCCTAGGAAAGTTCTTAAATTTTTGATTCTAGCCAGACCGTTCTTATTAGCGATATCAGACGAAAAATCGAACTTGAAACCAGAGGAATGAGTGATATACCAATCGAATCAGTATCCAAAACGCTCCGTACTGGTCAAATTTTAGGTGAATCCAAGCTATGGAAGCGGTATTTATACGCCCTCGAAGTAGGATGACAGGCACCCGCCATTGTCGTGCTGAGGGATGCACCACTGCATACAAACAGCAAGAATCGATGGCACAAAAGCCGTCAACTTGCCCAGTGCGTCATGAGCGGTTGCCATGGGGAACAAAGTGCAGTGCTGAGGGAAAGTGCAAAAATTACGACGAATCCGTACTCCAAGCAACAAAATTAATTAGTTCGTCTCGCCATGGATCTGGACGGCAAAGGACAACACCTTGTCGGAATCAAGCATTTTTGTTTCTCTATCGCAAAGCTACTAATGTAGTATCGAACAACTACGCCAGTGAGAATCCAGGAACATTGGGACGTGTTTTGTACAGTTATTTTCATCGTTCACCTTGCTCTGTTCCAAGACCAGTCCATTCGATATCGTGTCGATTTGGTTTACCTCGAGCTGCTTAGCCAGAGATGATCCAACGCACAAATCACGTTGTTCCTCTGGGCCTCTCATCAGAACTGAAACCACTACTCGAACACGCACGTAGACCACTCATATGTACCCTGTTCACATAGGTGCGCACAAAAAGATCAAAAAACTATGGTGCGCAAGCAAGCACGGCGACCAAACTTTGCAAGAAACTAAATTCAAGGACGCGGAAGACGATGGTGAGCGAATCCAAGGCGTGCACCGATGCGCAGGGACCGAAAAAGCCAAACGAAAATAACCTACTTTGGCTCAACGGCAGCTTCGCGAAAACACAACGCAGATTACTAGTTCAAACTCTGAACAGGGGCTTTCTCTTTGCTCTTCGCCTTCTTCCTCTCCAAACATTTCAAAAACAAGCTTGGGCTGCTGTACGAGTCCATGGAGGTATGCTGCTTGGACGCCCACGCGATTTTTTCAGCCTGGTGCAGGATCATGGTCGTGTGCCACGCGTGACTGTAGCTGGTATGGTCAGCCCTGCGACACGATTTTAGGGCGATTACGTAACCACTCTGACATCTCTATTCTTATTCCCACGCGCGCGGCGAGTCGAGTGACGTCATGACGTTTGTCATGTACATGTACATGTACATGTAGTGCAATGTAGTACTTCTAAACTAGTGGGTGTCGTAAATAGGAATGACTGTACAATCATGTAGCAGTTACTGTTTACACGTGTACATGGCATGTACTCACCTCCCATACATGTACAATGTATACAATTTTAAAAGTGTTCTTAAATCTGATAATTCTAGCCTGGACTGTTCTTAAATTTTGCCGGTTTTCCAGCCTGGGTGTTCTTCGGCGAGGTGTTCTTCGGCGCCCGATCTTACTGTAGTACACATCATCCAACTAATACTTAGGTCTCAGACTCATCAGTACATCTACGACGTCACACCATGAGCTGAACACTGGAACAAAATTGATGATTGATTAATGAAAGAGAGTTGAACAGCTTGAAATTGACGTAAACAAACATTGCTGTCGATTCCACTGCCAACACACAAACGATCCTTTCAGCAAGTTTCGTCCGGAATATCGAGTACCGAGTGCAACAAGGAAAACAAGAATGATGGTCTTGCGATGACCAAAATGCCCAGTACAGTCAATACTAGTATCACGAAAGGGATCTGCGCTCGAGTCCATGTTCTAGACCAAGAATGGGAAATACATGTACTGTACATATATACACAGAAGCCTTGCTTGGTAGTTAAAGGGGAAGTTAAGGCAAAAATTAAAATTTCACCAGTTGTAGTCTTCGGGGTGCTGAGTCGAATGGTCGTGGTCCGAGGAAGCTGAGA